ATGATTGGCTGAAATTGCATGAGACACAGGATTGGCTGAAATTACGCACGGTGTGGGCGTCGCCAGCGTAGCCTTGCTTGAGGAAGTTGAAGAAAGACATCCCAGGCGAGTACGCCGTCTGCTTCGGCACGTCCTTGGCGCGCGGGGGGTAGAACACTTCGTCCTTGTCGACGTTGCCCGTGTTCTTGTGGTGGTGGCGATGGGTGATGCGCCAGCTCTCAAACGGGGTCAAGATCGCGGAGTGCGTGATGCAGCCGACAATGAAGTTGAGGTTGTGGTAGCGAGAGAAGGAACTGTGGCCGCAGTCGTGGCCGATGGTGAACACACCCCAGAACACAACACCTTGCACATACGCGTACGCTAGGGACACGGCAACGTCCAGCACCAGCCAGTCGGCCACAGCATCGCGGGCGTAGGTGAGGCCGGTCATGAGAGCGGCAGTCAACGCCACGGACCGGGCCACGTAGTAGAGCGATGTGGAAGCATCCGACTCGAAGCACGAGCGAGGGATGGAGTGCTTGAGCTCCGTCAAGGTTGGAAACTCAGCCGAGGATGTTTCCTTGGTCGTGAACATTGCAATCGAAGTTGTGACAGTGTGCGTAAAATTGAAGTCGAAGTATACCATATGTACCGTCAAGCATTCCTCGCCAACAATTTATTGTTACAGTACTACCGGAAGTCCAAAGTAGGGTGTGTCCTTACCAGTACAGTACAACAGCGTTGTACACTGTACTATGTATGTACAGTAAGTACATCATTCGACCATGAGAGTACTTCGATGGAGGTTGCGCACTGTCACAACCGCCATCATCAACATCATGCACATCACAGTGAAACTCTACGACGCGGCGTCATGTGTTGTTCTCAGCGCTATCAATGTGCGCGAAAAATACTCGAGAGGTCCTTAGCCGACGTTCAAGACTGTTGTTTGATTGAAATTACAATGCCTTCTTGGCCGCCTTGGCTCGCTCCCCCAGCGTAAACACTTCGGCGTCATCAGGCACGATCCCGTGACGGACGAACAGATCCAGCGTCTTGAAGAACGCGCCGACGATGGGCTCCGTGTTGACGCGGACGAGGTGCGGGTACGCCTTACGGAAGTGGCTCGTGGCTTCGTTCAGCTTGTAGTGCGGGATGATTGGGAACAAGTGGTGCACTTGGTGGGTCCCGATGTTGTGGCTTAGCTCATCCACGAGCCACCCGTAGCTGCGGTCCACGCTCGACAGGTTG